TCAAGGCTCTGTATAATTGTAGTCAATACATTGTGGAACTGGAGGAACAAGGTAGGTCAGGCACCGCTGGAAGAGCAGGAAAGTGGACATTTTGGGTTGACTTTCCTGTTCCTCTGATGCTGCCTGACCTGCTGTATTCCTCCAGCTCCACACTGTATTGAGTCTGACTCCAACATCTGCAATTCTTGCTATCTATATAATTGTAGTAAGGTATCTTTGCCCCTGTACTCAAATCCCCTTCTATTAAAGGACAACATACCATTTGCCACCTTAATTGCTTGCTAAATCTTCATGTGAGCTTTCAGTGACTTGTTGAAAAGGCCTTCCAAGTTCCTTTGAAGTGCATCTCTTCCCAGTTTCTCACCATTTTAAGAAATATGCTTTGTTTTCTTACCAACATGAATAATCTAGCATTTATCAACATTGTATTATTTTTGACTGCACTTAGTGTGTCCACATCCCCGCTTCACAACTCTAACTTCCACATATTTTTGTTTTTTTGCAAACTCAAAAAATTGCATTTAAGGCTCACATCCAAGTAATTGACATATTCTGAATAACTGGGATAAAAGCACTGATCCTTTCATACTGTGCTAACCACAGCATACAAACCAAAAAAAGACCCATTTATTCCTACTTGCTATTTCCTGTTCATTAATCAGTTCTCAATCCATGCTAGTGTACTCTTCTCCCTGACCCCAGTCTCATTTGCTGTAATTTTGTTTACTAACCTGTTAAGTTGTACCTTATCAAAAGCTTTCTGGAAGACTAAATGTGCCACATTCACTGGTTCCCGCTTATCTTTTCTGCTAATTAACATCCTCAGAAAAAAATTCCAGCAGATTTATTATATACACTTTCCATTTCATAAATTGATGTTGACTGCTCAGTAGTAGCATTATTTTCTAAGTGTCCTGTTATCACATTCTTTACTCTAGATTCTAGCATGTTACCTATGACTGTTAGACTAACTGTGGTTTCCTGTGTTTTATCCTCTCATTTCTGAAATAGTGTGCTTACATTTTCCGTCTTCATATCTGCAGAAACTGTTCGAGGGATATAGAATTTTGAAAGACTATTCATAACGAATCAGTTATATTTACTGCCCCTCTTTCAGCATGCTGGAATGTGGATAATTTGGTCCAAGGGATTTATCTACTTGAAGTATCCAGTAATTTTTCTAGTACTGCCTTTTTGCTGATATTACTATCTTGTTCCTTGTTTAAATTTTCCCCTCGTTTAAATGATTCTGCACTATGTCCAGGAGGATTTTAGTGTTTTCCTGTGGGATGCCAATCATAAAGCATTTGTTTAATTTGTTTGAGATAGCAAGAACCGCAGATGCTGGAGTCAGGGTCAACACAGTGTGGAGCTGGAGGAACACAGCAGGCCAGGCAGCATCAGAGGAACAGGAAAGCTGATGTTTCGGGTCAGGACCCTCCTTCAGAAATGAGGAGAGGGAGGGGAGCTCAGAAATAGAGAGAGGACAAGTGGGGCTGGGGAAGGTAGGTGGGATGGTGATAAGTGAGTGCATGTAAGGAGTGGTTGGGATTGGTCAGTGAGGTGGGAGCAGCAGATAGGTGGGAGAGAAGACGGACAGGTTGTGTCAGGTCAAGTAGGTGGGGATGAGAGGGAGGGTTGGTCATGGGATGAGACCGGGGGGTGGGGAGATTTTGAAACAGGTAAAATCCACATTCAGGCCATCGGGCTGTGGGCTTCTGAGGCGGAATATGAGGTGCTGCTCCTCCAGTTTCCGGGTGGCGTCATTGTGACACTGGAGGAGGCCCAGGATGGCTGTGTCACCTAGGGAGTGGGAGGGGGAGTTAAAATGTTTCGCGACCGGAAGTTGGTGGTGTTTGTGCTGTACAGAGCACAGATGTTCTACAAAACGGTCCCCGAGTCTCCACTCGGTCTCAGCGATGTACAGGAGGCCAGATCAGGTGCAGTGTACCAAGTTGACAGATGTGTAGGTGAACCTATGTCTGATGTCGAAGGTTTGTTTTTTGCCTTGAATCGAGGTGAGGGGGGAGGTGTAGGAGCAGATGTAGCACTTGCAGGGAAAGGTGCCGGGGTGATGGTGTTGGTGGAGAGTGTGGAGCTGATGAGGGAGTCACAGAGAGCGCGGTCCCTGCGAAAGGCAGATAGAGGTGGGTAGGGAAATATATCTTTGGTTGTGGGGTCAGATTATAGGTGGCAGGAGTGGCGGAGAATGATACGTTGGATGCAGAGGTTGGTGGGGTGATATGTGATGACAAGGGGGATTTTCGATTTTGTTGGGGGGAGGCGACGTGAGGGCAGAGCTGTGTGAGACACGAGATGCATTTGAGGACATTTTCAATCACTGGAGGGGGGATGTTACTGTCCTTTGAAATAGAAGGACATCTGGGATGTGTGGGAATGGAATGCCCCATCTTGGAAGTGGAGGCGGAGGAATTGGGAGTAGGGGATCGCATTCTTGCAGGGAGGTGTAGGTAGCTGTGGGAGTCAGTGGGTTTGAAATAAATGTCGGTTACAAGGCGGTCATCAGAGATGGAAACCGAGGTCCAGGAAAGAGAGGGAGGTATCGGAGATGGTTCAGGTTGGGGTGAAAGGTGTTAGTAAAGTTGATTGTCAAGCTTCCCACTTCCTACATCATAAGGGGGTTGCCATGGGCACCTGCATGGGCCCAAGCTATGCCTGCTTCTTCGTAGGATACGTGGAACAATCCCACTTCTGCTGCACTGGCACTATCCCCCACCTCTTCCTCCGCTATATCGATGACTGTATCGGCGCTGCCTCGTGCTCCCATGAGGAGCTTGAACAGTTCATCAACTTTAGTTACCATACTTCGCCCATAGCATCTAGGAGCTGCCTTATTTTGCAACTTTGCCTCATCACCTGTCCTGTTACCTTTTATTGTGTTAATTAAATTTATTTTTTAATTTACAGTTCTCTTCCTTTTACCTACCTCTATCACTTACTGAACTCCCAATTCCCCTCACTCAGAGACCCTTTTACTCTGGGGGGGGAAAAAAAATGCATCAGCTCTGTTAAAACTCAAACCAACTTACACCAACTACATAATTAACTGTGTACACATACTTTGAGAGCTTGTTTATCCCTGTGTAAGACTGGAAGAAACTTAACTTTAAACAGTAATTTTTTTTTTTTACTTGTTAAATGTAAACAAAATCTAGACTGGAGAGAATAACTGCTCTTTCCCCTCAGTTACAAACTCCTGGCTTCAAACTCTTAAGCTATTAAAGCAGCACTCGGTGCCACCTTCCTTGGTGCAGGGTACACGGTTTTACCTTCGATATGCAAACTTAATACAAGAGCAGCTGTCTTCCAAATGCTGAATTAAGTAAATATGTCCCATGAAAAGATCAAACCATCTAGAAGTAACAAGATCATTACCCGTTTTTGAAATCAGATTTTTGGGTTCTTGAATCTAATTTGAAGTGTTCTGGAATTCAATCTCACTTTTCCACGTCTCAATTATATTGGAGTTTTCAGACTAGATATTTTCTTAGGTTTGGCATCACTGACCACTGAGATGCATTTTATTCATAAGTGTAAAATGTGCCATTATATCATTCTCATGATTTCAAAATGTGGAACCTCATACTGAGTACACATTTTGTAAGATCACAATGATTTATTGAAACAAACCAAGTAAGTAAACAGTTATAAAACAGTGACTTGTATATTTCACTGTTCTTCTGCGAAATAATAAAAATATCACTCACTTTCTGTCCATCAGTTTTAGGATGGGACCTAACTTATGTGTTGCAGTTCCAAAGCTGTTCATTGCCAATTGCAGACAGGTATAGACTTCGAAAGATACAACCCTTTTGGCAAAAGGATGTCAACCTTATATTTTAAATTCTTCTCCACAGATGCTGCCGTTTTTCTTATTTCCAGGATTTGACTATTTTAAATTTCCAGTATCTGTAACACTTTGCTTTTAGGCTTTTTCTGCTGGTAGAAAACTACAAAACCGATTGTTTAATGGCAAAATGGCACCTCAAATGTATCAACAGCCTTTTGAAAATACACTGAAACAATATCTGTATTTCCTATATAGTATTAAATTTGTTGTCATAATTTGACAATGGCATGCAGTCTTTACCATTGATTGTGAACTCTTGCAGCCTAATTATGCAGCCAGGAAGTTAGACTCCACATTGTGTGTTCCTTAAGCATTTGCACCTCATGGTGTTTCCTGCAGCCAGCTGATTTGGCTCCTGAGCTTTTCCTTTAGTAAAATAACATGTCTGTAACCAAACTATCCAGTTGCTGACTCGAGCAATAAAGGAAAATTGATAGTTCACAACAGACAAAAAAAACTTTGTCAATCATAATCAATGAAATTTTGCAAATAAACATATTTGGCAGCGTTTATACTTTGCAAGATCTATCGTAAGAAGTTTGCCTTACTAGATCTTTGAGAAGGCATTTTTAGCTCACTGCAACAATTACCATTCTGATTTGGTAAGTAAGCTCTTCCTGAAAAAAAAAATTGAGAGATTATGTTCATATGAAAAAATCATTTAATGAGATGGGAATTAATTAATTTCTATGCACTGAATGTATTTCATCAATCTGGAGGGGAAAATAACAGGCTTTTAAATATTGTGCACATTCAGCAACAGATTTGTGGTTTCTGATTTATGTCAAGTGGGAAGGAAAAAACCTTGGCATGTTTAACCTATCCAGAATCTTGGGAATATGGAGAAACTAAGCATTCAATTAGTTATGCTGCAGACTGCTGGTTCCATATTCTCCAGAGCTTCCGCTGTCAGTTCAACCTTAATGGTGTGGCCACTTTTGTGAGGATGGCTACATTCTCATGGACTGGAATTAAGTGTGTAATGTCATTTCCACTGAATCATATGATTTCAGAATTGAGATTTGTATTTTTATTTTTTAGTTCAAAATACATTGTATAATAATAGTACTTGACCAAATGCTTTTGCTGCTTGATATTCATTTTGTACTGCTCGTGTTTTCCTCTATAGGTACATTTAAAAAGATCATCTTGCTGTACCATTTGCTATTTTAAGATCTGAGTTGTTGAGGGATTACAAGAGCTTATGAGGAAGTTCTGCTGTGAAAAAGAAAACCAGTGGCAAGAGGAAACTGCAGAACATCAGGAACATCAAACAGGAAAAGAAGGAGAAGGGAAACTGGAACAGCAAGTGGAGAATCATGGTATGTTCTTGGGTTTTGTCACTTCTGACCTTGTTTCATGTGATAAATTAGCAGACAGCCTAATGGATGCAATCAAAACAGCTCAGTAAAACAAAAATCTATTCAGTAGTTTGATATTAACTACATGGGTACTACAATTCCATGTGCAGAGTGTACTGTCTTGATTTATTTTCAAGGTCTTTAAACCACAGAATTAAGCCTCCAGAGTCTGCAGCATATGAATTATTAATTGCAAAGAGCATGTTCATAAATTACATGCTGTAATGAAACTGGCTTTAACATGCTGCTGTAAGATGCCAAATGACCTTGGACTATGCTGCATAGCTAAAATTTTAGGTGCTTGTCATTGTCCTCAGTGCAGCAGAATCATTGCCGTGAGTGAATCAGGATACTTTGACAGATGCACCAGCTAGCTTGACTGTTGTTAGGTAAACAGATGCTGCATGTCAGCACCGTTTAATCTTTTGCTCAAATTACTTTATTATATCACCTGATTTACGTGATTATATCAAAAAAACTTCAAGGAAATATTCTAATAGCTACTAATACTATTAAAAATTACATTAATATAGATATTACTTTTGATCATGGACTTGTACATGGCTTGAAAATCAGATTTAGTAATAGAAGCAGACATATATTTTTGATTAAATTAAATAATTAGTTAGTATACTTTGAATTTATTGTAACCACTAGAGTAATTAAAGGCCAAAGATTTCACCCAATCTCTGGTGAGTTTTTAAGAAATTTGTAGTTTTGTATACCAGATGCTAACTAATAACAGAATAATGATGGAAGTCGGAAAATACCCCACCCAGGGGAGAAAATTGTTTAGAAGTATCTACATTAGTTGGAAGAACTGGAGAAGGGAAGGCTCAAGAGCAGTGGGGAGAGAGTGGCTTGGGAAGGAGATAAGGGCTGAAGTGAAGGTCGGTGTTGGCATTTAGATGGCCTATGTGGGTCAGGAAATACAATTACAATAAAATTACTAATTTCACTTCAAATGTTTTGAGAGTCTGTTAACCTTCACAAAATTTGATACAAATTGTCCTTTGGTCTAAATGACTATAAATCAGCTGTAACCACAATTCTATCAATATGCTCCACAGTACAGTGTTGGATATAGTTTGAAGGCGCAAGAATCATAGTCTGGGTGATAGTCAAAGGCTGCATTATCTCCAAGCACTATGTGGGTGTGTTTTAACAAAGTATCAAGTATCTTTCCTAGGTTCTGTCATTATTTACCAATGTACTTTATGCAACTGTTTGCTAACTGAAATGAAAACAAATTGTGTACATAAAAGGTGGAGCTTAGATTTTGGAATTAACACATTATGATGTCAACAGTGGAAAATGCAGATGCATCAAGAGTCCTGAAATTTTATTTTGTCTATTTAGAACAACAATACTGTCAGGATAGAATGAAGAAACACAAAATGGAATGGGAAAAAAAAAACAAAACCAGAAAAAGCAATGAAATATGAGAATATTAGAGGGTTGTGCAATGAGCATTGTCTTTGTTAAGATATTCCCAATAATTTCACAGATGACACAGACGGTGGATAATTGGGAATTCAGGAATGGCTTTTTTGAAAGGGAATTTCATCTTATTTCATCTTAGTTCATCAGGTTAGACCTGGGCTGTTCCAGGATCACAGTTATTGAATATTGTTTTACAGACTGTTTGCAATCTTCTTTTTGATCTTTTAAACCTCCTCTTCTGGCTTTGGCATCTGTTTTCCTCGTATCTGCATTTAGTTGTTTTACATCATATTTCGCATAATATTAGCAGCAAACCCATGTTGCGAGGAGTAAAGGTATTTGGCACCCTCTTGAAACCTTTTTATTTTCACAGTAATGTTGAATCTTTTCCCAATCAACTTTGGTTAAATCTTTTTACTCCATTCTGTCTGGTTCCCTAATCCTAGATTATTTGTTAATAGTTTCTGAAAGCTTGCAGCATTTGAGTTCCTCTCTTGCAAGGACAGTTCTGAATCTGTACATGTCAAGCTGATGTCAAATTTGAAACTGTTTAAGGCCTTTCCAAGTCTGTCTTTTCACAGCAGTACCTTTTTGTTATTGTGTGATATAACGGCTCCTGCAGCAAGTCAAGGTCTTACTTGACTTGAAGTAAATTACTGTCGTATCCTGACATGATGTCCAGGACATATGGAATATCTGTTCATTTCAGATCTATAGCATATAATTAGCTAAGTGATATTTGAGAGTTTTTTTATTCACTCGGATGTGGAGACGTCATTTGCTGAACCAGCATTTATTGCCTATCCCTAGTTGTCTTTGAGAAGGTGCCTGCCTTGACCTGCTGCAATCTATGTGGTGTAGATAGACCTGGATAGGTGAATAGTCAAGGTCCTTTCTCTAGGGTAGTGGAGTCCAAAACTAAAGGGCAAAAGTTTAAGGTGAGAGGGGAAAAATTTAAAAGGCCCCAAGGGGCAACGTTTTCACCCAGAGGGTGATGCGTGTATGGAATGAACTGCCAGAGGAAATAGTGGAGTCTGGTATAATTACAACATTTAAAAGGCATCTGGATGGGTGTATGAATAGGAAAGGTTTAGAGAAATATGGGCCAAATACTGGCAAATGGGACTAGATTAATTTAGGATACCTGATCATAGATGAGTTGAGTCTGTTTCCATGCTGTGCATTTCTATGACTCTATCATCCACAATGCCATTAGGGAGGGAATTGCAGGATTTTAACACAGAGTCACTGAAGGAATGGCAACATGTTTCCAAGACAGTATAGTGAGTGGCTTGAAGGCAGAGCTTCCAACTGTATTAACCACTCTTGAGTCAGAGGCAAATTTGGACTTTGGTGGTTGTGGAGATAATTAGACGAATGTTAAATTCTCAACCTTTGATCGTAAGCTAATTGTGGATGTCTAACAAAGACAACATTAGGCAAAACTAAAAGTAATAAAGCAAACTGTTTCGTAGCTAGTGTTCATGTAAAGAAAACGAGCAACTGGGGGCAAAGTACTGTCAATTGTCCATTTGTAATATACCTCAACATTTCCATGTCTTAAGGCGTTAGAAACAGAGGGTGGGAAATAACAAGAAAAAAATCCTAAGGATGTATTTTATGTATTCGATTACTTCTACTTAAAGAAACATAAGATAAGAATGAGTGGACCATTCAGCCCATTGAGTCTGCTTCATCATTGAACATGATCAATGTATTCAGTTTCCTATCTTCCGTAGTAACAAGCTGCCAGTGTTAGAATAACCACTAATTTAATGTTAAGTTAAATGACTTGACTTGCCTTTGATATCAAAAGAGCATTCTCAGCACTTCATTGCACGATTCACTATCTCCCTTTTTAATGACTATCTGGGGTCACTTATAGCTTATTGTCTTGGTTTATAATGGGTCCAGAGGGCAAGCTATTACAAATTGCTATCTGTCGTGTTTGAAGACTTTGAGGCCTGGAACTTTTTAAGTTATTCTGATGAATTGAAATGTCCACTAGGGATCTGTTTTCCATCAGCACAGCCTCAAAATTAAGTCAGCTATCCACCTATGGTTGTAATATTGCAGTGTAAATCCTTTAAACTTAAATAGGGGCAATTATGAGGGATGAAAACTGAATTGTCTAAAGTGAATTGGCAAAATTAGGTTGAAGGGTAGTTTAATAGAGATGCAGTGGCAGACATTTAAAGGGATATTTCAGTACATTGAATATATACATTCTGATAAGAAGACTTCCAAGAGACACATCCATTTATCTGTGGTTAACTAGAGGGCTTAAAGGTAGCTTCAGACAAAGAAAACACAATCGACGCAAAATAAGGAAATGGCAGGTGAGTTTAGCAGGTATTTTAGATCATTATTCTCTGTAAGAAGATACTAGGAACATCTCAGCAGCAGCTACAAATTGGGAAATAGAAGGGAAGAAGGAGCTTAACTTAAAATCATATGCAAAGTGATGCTGAGTAAACTGTTGGTTCTGCAGGCTAACATGCGCAGGTCATAATGGATTTCATCTAGGATCTTAAGAGAAGTAACAAATGACATAGTTGATGCGTTGGTTTTAATTTTCCATAACTCCCTAGATTCAGAAACTCTTATATTAGATTGAAAGATCTAAGCTCTTTTATTCGAAAAGGGATGGAGACAGAAAGCAGGAAGCTACAGACCAGGTAACTTAACACCTGTCATGGTGAAAATGTTAGAATATGTTGTTAAAGAAGTTATAGAAGGGCACGTAGATATATTTGAAATAATCAGATGAGTCAACAGGTTTTGGAAGGGGAACTCGTGTTTAACCAATCTATTGGAGTTCTTTGGAAGAGGTGCCCTTCACGTGGATAGAGGGGAGCTGTTGGATGTATGATACTTAGATTATGGGAAAGCATTTGAAAAAGTACCATGTCCAAACTTATGTGTAAAATAAAAATTAAAGTTATGGAGATAGCATGTAGCCAACCAGTCTTCTGCGCATTCCTAAGAGGAATCTGAGAATTGGAATAAATGGGTCTTTCTCGGGTTGGCAAGATGTAATGAGTTGGTGTACCACAGTGATCGGTGCTGGGACCTCAACTGCTTACAATTTACATAAATATCTTGGAATAAGAGATGGAAGGTATGGTCACCAGATCTGCCGCCAACACAAAGATTGGTTGGAAAGAAAGCGAATATAACTCGTATCCTTTTATTGGCCTTAATTGAGTGGGTAAAGATTTGGCCAAGTGGCATATGATGTAGGAAACTTTGAAGTTGTCCATTTTGGCAGAAATTTTTTTTTTTTTTTAAAGTTTATTATCTAAATGTTAAGGAAATGAAAAGCTCTGAGATACAGAGGGACCTGGATATCTAAGTGCATGGAGTGCAAAAGGTTAATTTGCAAGTGCAACAAGTAATTGGGAAAGTTGGTAGAATATTCTCATCTATTGCAAGGGGAATTGAATACTAAAGGAGGGTATGCTTCACTTTTACGCAGAGTAGTGGTGAGACTACCTCTGGAGTACTGTAGTCATTTT